GTAAATGCCTCTCATGTTCCTCTGTCTTCTGGAATCCTGCTGGCACTTGCTGGATGGCCTGGTCGGGGTGACGGGGGGCCAGCTGTATGCGGGGCGTGTTTCCCGTTCTCACTGTTTGCTGGGTGGAGCAATATGCGGACTTGAAGTGTACAGTGAGAATGTTTTGCTGGCCCAAGTGCGAGACATCGTCACTGTGCCAACTTCCAGTCCCTGTGGAGAGGTGGAGGGTGCTTACACATGGACCACGTGGATGCATTTACACGTGCACACACAGACATGGACCACATGGATGCATTTACACACACACACACAGACATGAACCACATGGATGCATTTACACACACACACACAGACATGAACCACATGGATGCATTTACACACACACACACAGACATGGACCACATGGATGCATTTAGACACGCACACACAGACATGGACCACATGGATGCATTTAGACACGCACACACAGACATGGACCACATGCGTACATTTACACACGCACACACACACATGCAGTGGATGGGAGGGGTCTCTCACGATGCAGAGGGCCTTTTGTATGTATTGCTTGTGAAAGATGCCCTGGATGGATGGGAGAGAGGTCCTGATGAAATTGTGCGCTGTATTCACTGGATTATCCTGCCCCCTAGCCCCCACCTTATATTTTCTGCCCCCCTGCCCCCCCCCACCTTACATTATCTGGCTCTTGCCCCCCCCCCCAAACACCCTGCATTATCTGGCCCTCTGCCCCCCCACCTTGCAACTTCCCCCTCTGACACCTCTGACCAGCTCAAACTAGTAGGTGCGGAATGTGGGCTTTAGGACGCTAATACAAGGTGGCTGGTCATTTTGGGGACTGTTTGGGGTTAGGGGGGTGCTGGGGGGTGTTGGCGCTCTGAGTGGACATTCCTCACATTCCGTTCCCCAGAGCTGTGTGAGCTCTGCCTTACCTTAGGAGTGTGCATCACAATGGGCTATTGCTCTGCCTTACCTTAGGAGTGTGCATCACAATGGGCTATTGCTCTGCCTTACCTTAGGAGTGTGCATCACAATGGGCTATTGCTCTGCCTTACCTTAGGAGTGTGTATCACAATGGGCTATTGCTCTGCCTTACCTTAG